CGTAATAGATTGCGCTCTAATATGTCATTCAGTCGTGTAGTACGTCTGGGCTGTTGCGTCACTGGCACAGCGTTATTCGGGGCTAAAGCAGCATGGTCCGCCGATTGGAGTAAAGGTGATCAGGCTCTACCATTTTTTGGCCAGTTGAAAAGTTTAGCAGCCAGCATCAATAAAAGATTTCCATCAATACTAAGTGCTCGTGCTGTCTGTAGTGAAAATATCAGTATAAAGCCATGGAATTGGGACTGGGACGGAAGAAATCCCTCTAATATTAGGACGGATGCCTCTTTACAAAATGAAATAGTGACACCAAAACCGAAGTGTACACGACACCTTCTATTTATTCGCCATGGCCAATATCATTATGCGAAAGAAGATTCTGACTGTCACCTGACAGGGCTTGGACGCCAGCAACTGGAATGTACTGGAATGCGTTTACGAGAACTCAATTTCCCATATAGGAAATTATACTACTCCACGATGACGCGTGCTGTCGAATCAGCTGAGTTGGTGTTAAATCACCTTCCCGATGTTCAGGCAGAACCATCAGACGCATTACGCGAGGGTGCTCCTTACGTTCTGGAACCACCCCTCGGATATTACCAACCCACACCAAAAGACATAGAAGAAGACGGCTCTCGCATTGAACTTGCATTCCAAAGACATATACACCGTGCAGATGTGAAACAAGAAGCCGACACATATGAAGTGTTTGTGTGCCATGCAAATGTTATTCGCTATTTTGTTTGTAGAGCTCTACAGTTTCCACCTGAAGCTTGGATAAGGTTTTCCCTTGATCACGGTAGTATAACGTGGCTTGTCGTCCGGCCTGATGGGCGCGTTACGTTGAGATGGTTAGGAAACTCAGGACATATGCCCCCCGAACTCATTTCCGTCCAGTAAATTTCTATGAACTTTGCTTCATTGTACAGTGTATATTACATGTATTTAAAGTTTCCCGTTTTGTAAAATTAGATACATTTTCCAGATGGCTGACATGCTATTCTTTTCTCATTGATTACTCACCATTTATGTGTAATAGTAAAGGTTTATACATAATGTTACCTGTAAAAAAACATTGGAAGCAGTCAATGGCGTAAACTGCTCTGCCAGCGTTTTGGACTTTCTATAGCTCAATACTTAACTAGAAGATTAAATCATTAGTTACGACAAATATTATTGGAACACTTAACGCAATTAAGTGCATACTCATGCGTGGCTTCAGGCTAGTGAGGTTAGCTAGATTCCTTAACCAAATGAGTAGCTTGGACGCAAAATCCGACTAATCTAACCACTGATCTAATTTTACTGGTACTTGCTTTTGAGGACAAATTCTAGTTAGCACATCATGGATTTGGTTACTTTGTCAAAAATAAGAATGACCATAAAATTGGGCGCCGTAGATTTTCCATACATACCAACCAAACCAAAAGCCTACTGGAATCTTAAAAGTAATAGTTGCGTATTGGAGCCTCTTTTGCCTGATGTATGTAAAGCGTAAAAATGAGAACAATGTTAAAACTTATTGTCGTAAATTTAGTATACTGGTAAGCGAGTTAACACGGAAAGGTAAGAAAGTAAGTGTGTAGATCTGCTTATATTTTCATTAAGCTCAAATGCTTAACGACTCATTTGTCGCCTTGGTTTTGGATCAGATCCTTTCCCTCTAACTAAATAAGGAGTTCAGATGAACTTTTTGAAAGAGCGAGTAGTTTTTGGTGGTCTGTGAATCATATACTCTTACTCTGTTAATAGCAACACGAATCAGTACTGTGTACTGCAAGAAGCGCAAACCTTGATATTGAAAAAAGGTATTGTTCTTTAACAATAACTGAATGGTAGTTTGGAAACAGTACTTCCTATGGTTTATTATTAGATAGCTAGATAAGTAAATTACGGTCGTTTGACTTTGTGAATATCTACTTATACAATTAGTCGTTACGATGATATTACTTACCAAACAGATCTTGTACTGCTACTTTGATAACAAAGATTTCCCTGTGTTTAGGCCTTAGGTCTTGATGTTTATTCCCAACCCTTTGTAAATGACAAAAACATATGACCGACTTAGTAATAAATAGAAGGGAATTATATACAATGAACTTAAAGTAAATTGAGTTTCTAGGAACGTATTCCAGTACGATTAGAACAATGTGTTTATATGTATTCGTGTACAAAGTTATGGCCGATGGAGGTTAATTGTTTTGGGGATTAAACAGTTTCGTACTGACAACTAATGCACTATTTCATAAATTAAATGAAGTTGATCCTTGACGTTGCCATAAATTCTTATCACAAAAAAGTTCCAATCAAGGAAGCATCTCTAAAATACTTAATTTAAATGAATCTTTAGCTTATACCAGTTCGCAACAAAAAATATTCAGAACTCAAACTGATCTCCGTAAAGTTGAGGTCGAAAGGACTATTGTCCTAAGTTGCAACATCTTTTAAGGGGAATTTTCCTGACGGGAAGCGCTTGAATGCTTTGCTAAAAATGCAGAAGCGAGGCCGAGGGTAGTCAACTACCAACTGGACATTATAAAGCGTCACTGCAGGCACTGCTTTGGGAAAGAAGGGTCTGTTATATATTCCAGTTTGAAACCAGTGAGGTTAAACGCAAACAAACGATTACCTTGTGAAAACGGTATTACGAAATAAGCAGTTTAACAGGAATTCTGAACATGATCATTCCCAAGTTTTCTTTTGTAATTAACTGTCTAGCGATAAACGATGGAGTATTAATGACATTTTCGTAACCCTCAGGAGGCATACTTCGTCTGTTTAAGCTTAACTTCTCATAGCTTAACAATTTGGGCTTATCTGATTGCATATTCGAAAAAAAAACGCTACCTCTCGACCGATGTTGTCTGTATCAAATACTAATTCTACTCACATAAGTTGTTAGTGTACAAGGTATCAGAAGTTGATTATGTAGCTTACTTAACACCATCGCACTAGATCCCTGATGATCCGAATCTAGAATTAGGCACTGCCAAATATGGGAAAAATTTTGTTTTGTGTAACATGATGGATGTGTTAACGCATTTCCTTAGGTAGTTGAAGAGTGAAGACAAAAATGTGACATCTAGACGTTTCATATCCGAAAGAAAATTCCGTGGTCACCAGATTCTTTCCGTACTCGAACACAACTGGTAGAGTGAGAGCTTATGGCGAACTGTCATCAGAATTGATTACCTCAAGTGGTGTTCGTCAGGGCTGTTCAATCTCCCCATTCTTGTTCAACTTTGTGGTCGACGTACTTTTAGAGATAACACTCTCCTCATCTAAATTTCCAGGGGTTGAACTTGTACCGGGAGGTTCACTTATTGACTTAGAATATGCTGATGACATAGTTTTATTTGGTGAAGACGCTGACAAAATGCAGAGTCCTCTGACCACTCTGAGCAACAATGCAAGCATGTTCGGGATGCGACTCTTCCCCTCGAAATGCAAAATGTTGCTTCAGGATTGGGTTACACTGACACCCGAACTAGTGATAGAGAGTGTAGTAGTTGAGTGTGTCGACCACTTCACTAATCTTGGAAGTCTCATCAGCCCTTGTGGTCTGGTGTGTGACGAAATCTCAACACGGATACAGAAGGCTCGACTAGCTTTTGCCAACTTGCGTTATTTATGGCGTAGGCGAGATATCCGTCTATCAACCAAAGGACGTGTTTACTGCGCAGCAGTTCGTTCCGTCCTACTTTATGGCAGTGAAACATGGCCGGCAAGAGTAGAGGATATTCGTAGGTTACTAGTATTTGATCATAGGTGTCTTCGAAACATTGCTCGTATATCATGGGACCATCGAGTAAGTAACACAGTTGTTAGGAAACGGCTACTAGGTAAGGATGGCAAATCAATTGATGAAGTAGTGAAACTTCATCAGTTGAGATGGCTGGGACACGTGTTACGTATGTCCAACGACCGACTGCCTCGACGTGCTATGTTCAGTGGTATAGGAGTAGGTTGGAAGAAAGCTAGGGGCGGCCAAACCAAAACATGGCACAAGTCCATGAAGTCACTGACAAGTGAACTGAGTCATGTTGGTAGGTGTCGACTACCTGGTTGGGGACCGCGAGATGAAAGCAACCGATGGTTAGAGACCCTGAATGACATGGCTCAAAATCGTTTGCAATGGCGCAGGTGCATCCACTCTTTGTGTTCTCCCAAATTCTAATCATCTGAATTCTTCATGTCCCTCTTTTCCTCTTTCCAAATTTATTTCACTGGATTATACTCTTTAAATAACATCTCCAAACACTAATCTTCCCGATTACTGCTTATACTCTTATTACCTCTACCACTACGGGATTTGAATCGACCACTGCATCTCTGTGCTAATGTGGTGTGGCAACTCGAACTGATGTACGTACGTACGAAGTTCTACGTTGTTACTGACTGACTGACTGAGATTCTTTCCGTCAGTTGTCAGAGAGGAAGTTTGATCTATTACAAAGTTATTAACACCTTGTTTTTCTGTCAACCAAATCTAATCGATCTTCTGGATAGTATCATGACCGACAAAACCCATTTGATTCCAGCTAGCTTTATAGCGTTTTGGCTTCATTCATCAAAGGATTAATTTGTAGCGAATAACTTTTATCACGTAACAAACTAATACAAAACCATTAAGTGGGATAGCACGAAGTTTGTTCTCAGATACTGACTATAGGCATAATTACTGGTAAAACCACGGTGATTTGGACATACTCAACAGCCGCTAACCAAAGGGCATTTAGAAAAAATCGTAGAATGCAAACTTGTTGCCACTAACAGTACAACCCAATATGCAGCTTCATGATTCTACACCAAAGATAAACGGTGAAGTAACTAACAATTAGCAAGAACACATTGAAAAAGTAATAAAACTTTAAAACGAAAGAGCATGAAGTATTACATTTAAATCTATTTGTCTTCAGATTTCTGCAAATGAGCGTATTCGCTTCCAATATTTTAGAGGCCTATTCGGAAGACCGGTCTCGGAAAAAACCATATTGTTATTGACAGTTTTCCATTTGTTCTCTGCAAAAATATATGATACCGATAAACAACAATTCTACCGGATAATGTGACTTTCTGGCTACTTTCACAAGGTATAGTTCATACATAGATCTTATATTTGATAATAATCCACTTTACTTGATAGTGTCATGGTTTAATACACATCTATATCACGAGTTTGAATCACTAGTAAGTCATTGTAATTTTGCCAGTTCCTGTCTGGATTCGTACTTTCTTCATAATTCCTTGGTTTCTACTGAATGTTTGTAATGCTCAGTATACCTAATTTACATTAAGTATTGTATTTTGAAAATAGATAGAAAAAATAGGCTTATTTTTACCGTAATTGTAAACCCTTGTTAGAAATTACCGAAAATATGTACTTGCTCAAAATGTATCTCACAATATTTATACTGAAACAATAGAGTTGATTTTCGCGGAATTGAACAAAAAAGACCAGACGGTTTATACATAAAAATACTTTCTAAGGACTATTATCAAGGGACTTTAAGTGTCAAATTATACTTCACCTGAATAAAAATGAAATATTACAAAAAAATATTCATGAGATTAGAAGATGGTTATTGAACCACACGGTGATTAATCATAATTTTAGGCAGAAAAAACGTACTCATGTAATGATGTGTTATTTGACGCTCTTTCAGTTGCGGTGGATAAAGGTATTTGTTCAATTACTGAACAATAATTGTTGGCACCTTCCTGAAAGCCAAATCGGAAAACAGGTTAGGGTTAACAACACGAAAAGTTACAATACTCATGCGTAAAAAACATATAATGGTTAAAATCAGTTAGCAAATAGAACTCACCTGGTTTTTAGTTATTCTGGTGAGTAAATGAAGTTTCTGAAACGTATCATACCAATACTTCACAACAGTCTCATAGTTATTCTACAATAGTACGAATAGAAGCTAAACATACAGGAAAACTGTAGATTGTCACTTCTAAATGCTGATTCTTTTCATGTTTGATCGGTATTTCACGTACGGATTCTAACTCATCTTCTGAAATGTGGGATATAATATCAGTATTCTCAAGGTTTGAGACTCCAGATTTCGGTGTAAATCTCTGTTCGGCACATATGTTTGTAAAAGTGACGTATCCTGAACGCTTTTTCGACCTGCGAGTACAATCAGAAAGCTGGGAATCACCTTCAAATGTGGAAATCTACCTACATCCCAGTTATCTGCAGCGTATAAACTTTTTATCTCTCCAACGTCATCAAATTCTATTCTCTTAGTCGAATAAATTTGAGAATTGATTGAAGTCTTCGAAGCATCATCCTGTAAACTGTTAAGTACATCTCGAGACTTCTTTGCTTTTCGGCGTTTTTTATACGGTTTACGCACACTAAGTAATTTAGACACACTATTTGCAAGGAGTGTACTTGACGTTTTGCGTATCAACATCTTCACTAGATTCTTTCTGCATGTCAAGGATTTTTCTTCCTTCAGTATTCTAAAGGGAAAATTGGACTGAATAACGATATGCAGTAAAAAATAACTGGACTGTCGTTTTTCTGTTTTTTTTTATAACAGTTCCATCCACCTGTTTCAATCAACAAAAATGGAGGAAAGTTATGATGAACAAATAAAAAGCAGTATGTGCTTACTGAAATGAAGAAATGTCCGGTCTCTTTGGAATAATTCTGCAGGGTCTCACGCTGAAACGAAATTCCCGTCTAGTATTCCCCAATGGTAAGTGGTGGCTTTGTGATTAAACCCATAGAATTATAACTAGTAAACCATAGGTTGAGAACTCACTGCTTTGGCAAGTGGGTTAGTGTTATTAGCTTTTATACGAAGTGTGGCTCGAAACCGAGTGCATAAACCCATAGTTTGTGAACTACATTGAAACTAAACTATAATTTTTGAAAGGCGAAATTTAATGGATAGTAACCGTTATGTATGGGTCATGTCACCTATGATGTATTGGTTTTATTGTGGGATACCTAGCTTGAAAAGTCCCAACAGAACTGTGAATAAAGCCTTAAACTTCTTCAAATATTTTGCTTTGGATGTCTTGAGTCTTTTTATGAAATCGGTCCACACCAGTAGCATCATGTGGTGACTTAGTATGTACCACGCATGCTGTAATAGATTACATCTCCAAACAAATAGATTGTCTTACACCCCATGATGAGAACTATAAACCTAACTCTGACATTTCTTGTCGGAAATTTTTGCCACACGCCGACAATACCTTGAAAATCCATATTCATTGGACAACTTGAAGACTAATTTGAATTTACCTGTTATATCAATGTTTGTTGTGATATTTTTGGACTAAATACTAGTTGTATTTATGAACACATTATTTTCATTGCCAAAACATTTTCTGAGCATCTTACAAATTATCACTTTCTATTGAATGTTAACCACTACTTGACAATATCCAACTTTTCAAGTCATAATAGCTGAAGTGCGTCCGAACATCATGCATACATACCAAACTTGTTTTTTCATTTAAACCCATACGAAAGTGGTATATGAAAATTTATTAGGTTCTTTGATTGCCTTGAGCAATAATGTAAGTATATTTGAAATGGGACTCTCTCAATGTAAATACAAAATATTGCTACAGGACTGACCTGTGTCAACACCTAAAATAAGGATAGGAAGCGAATTAGTTGAGTGTGTCCATCGCTTCACTTGTCTTGGCAGTCTCATCAATCTTGAAGGTTTGGTGTCTAACGAAACCTGAACACAGGTTCCAAAACCTCGACTGGTTTGTAGATAAACTTGTCACTTGCGGTATAGCCAAGAAGTCTGTTTCGCAATCAAAGAACAAATTTACTGTACAGCATTTTACTCTGTTATGAGAATGGAACATGGTCATTAGGAATATATATATTCGTAGGTTACTTGTATTCGATTACAGGTTTTTTTCGAAACATTCCTCGCATATTTTTGGACAACCGATTGAGCAACGTTGAGGTTAGGTATACGCTACCAGATAAAAATGGTAAACGATTCAATAAGATAGTGAATTTGCATCAATTAAGGTGGCTAAGACATGTTACGTATACTCAACCACCATTTACCTCGACGAGTGACGCTGTCTGGCGGCCAAACCAAGATGTGCCACCAATCCATCAAGCCATTGGTAATTGGACTAAACCCTCTTAGTAGGTCCGCGTGATTATCCTAGCAATGGTTGGGCACAATTTAGAATCGTTCGCAATGGTGCAGGTCAATTTACTCTGTCTTCCCTTGAAACTTGAGTCTCAAATCTCCTTACAACTTTTTTCTTCTATATCAAGTCCTTTTACTAATACTGGTACGACTACTTCTACTATGAGGTTTGTACTGATGGCCATTCGTACCAACGCTTTTGTGTTTGAACGAAATGATTTGTCTTGATAATTTTATCTGTGCTAATGCGGTATGGCGAATTGGACCGATGAGCATGTGTCAAACACTACGTTGCACGTAACTCACCGACATGAGACCCTAAGTTAAATTGTACTAAATTCCAAAATGTACGGACATAGCTTGTCCTTATTATGATACAGTTTTGTTCCTAAATTGTTTAAACTGGATAGACACTTCGAGTAATTCACAGTCGCTTGTACAATAATAAACAGATGGTAAAAATACTGAGTTCCTCAGGTCACCAGAAACAAACGTCAAGACAGTGCATAAACATTTACTGCTGTTAGTAAGCTCCAAAGTCTACGACATTTTAAGATCATAAGGCAGCATGGATTCTAGTGGAAATAGATGAGAACTCTTGATTTGTTGTACCTAGGTATTTAGTTAGTATTCAGATGACGGAGATTAAGGTACGACAAATCGGTTCCAAAGAGAAATTATATTTATGAAGCCTAAGACTATTGGAAAAACTGTTGAGGGAAGGGTTGAGTGATGTTATTAAAAAAATTCTGGGCTGACTGGAAGTACACCCACGTGAGATTATGGTGTCATACGTATAACATCAAAATTTAAAACAACTCGACTACATGAAAAACGAACAAAAAATTTTCATGCTGACAAAAAAGTTGTGAATCTGATGTGGATATAGTATTTAAAAGATCAAAACGAGTAAGCGGTTATGATACTAATGCAGTAGTTGGACTGCTCCCACTAGGACCAGTTACTGAAAGTCAAATAATAGACAACAAGATTATCCCTTGTATGGTAAATTGTTGCCGGATGAAGCATACTTTAACCAATTCTTGTAGTAATTAAAGTGATGAGGTAGTCACCTAGATACGACTACTTGATTGATTAACGTTGAAATCACGTTACTTGTAATTTTGTCTATACTCCAAAACCCATTTTATCGTTTCCTAAGTCGAACAAGTCAAATGACTTTAGTAGTGTTTGGGTTATCTCATCGGAGTAAATGCGCTACCTATAAGCTCATTTACCAACAGTTAACGGGACCAGAATGAAGGACTACGCATAATTCTACTCCTCAAAATTCTAAAGTGATCGGACACACCGAGAACCTTATGAGTTTGCTCAAATGCGTGCTTCAACTAACTAAACTTGGATCTATTATGATCTTTGCTTCAACTGAGTGGACTAACCTTTCTGCGTACCATAGGTTTGGCAAATGTTCACAAGACAGCCAACAATGCGTACGCATTGTTGAACCTGGAACATTTGTGTACTGTTTGAAATCGCAACACCACTTTACCGCAGAGAAATGTATGCATAGTAGGAGTAGTAATATTACAAGTGGTGTCAAGAAACTTAAGGTATTTACAATGTAGTTCAAGAAAAAAGTACAAATTCATGAAATCTGAATTAGTATGTTTTAGTTTCGAAACCCAGTATCTAATTTGAGACAAATGGTGATTGCATCTACGTCATTAAGAAAAGACTATACTTTGAGGACGAACCAATGGAACTTAAGATAACAATGGCAAGGTAAAGAAAAAGTCAGATTCGCTCGAAGTCACCCGCCGTTTCGTTCAAACGACCTTTAGCAGTCTGGATGAGGCGGCTACTTCGTAATTCAATTGCTAAGGGTTTGTTGGGTGTCCGTTGAGATGCATGAATATTGCGTGGAACCAACAGTTGGAAAAAGTATGTTTGGTCGTGGTTCAAATGGTTGTGGACGGAATAGAAGAAGCTTTCGCTTAACAGGCTTCCGTGTCTAGTAGCAGGTGATCACCAAATCCTCCAGGCAGGAACCTAAGTATGTTAACAATAAAAGAAGAAAAGAAATTGGTAAACCATAATGTGATGCTGTCCTTGGTCCTTAAGAATAGGTCAAGTTGCCTCTTGAAGGACTCCTGAGAAGTCGCTTGGACTAGCTCGGCCGGCAGCGAATTCCAGCTTTTGACAACCCTTAAGGAGTAGAAGTTGTGTCTACATTCCGTCTTGCTATGTTGTGTTTCCAGTTTCTGGGTGTTACCCCTTAGGTTATTATTCGAACTAAGCTTAAGTAGGTGTTTAAGAGTATATCCAGAAGTGTTTAGAATACTATAAGCCATTAGTAAATCACCTCTAAGACGCCTATATTCTAGTGGGTAAAGGTCTAGTGAACGGAGGCGTTCTTCGTAAGGCTTAGATTTGAGTCCTCGAACTGATTTCGTGGCTCGCCGTTGGATACGCTCCAAAGTGACCTTGTCCTTTTGGAGTGAGGGGGGTAGTACTATGTCTCCGTACTCTAAATGGGGACGGATAAAACTATTGAAGATCGTATGGAAAGTTCTTCCGTCAAACTGACCAAAATGAGCTTCAATGTTACCAGTGCAAGGTTTGCTCGGAAGGCATTTTTGTCACAGTTAGCGTAAGACTTTAAGTCATGGAGCACCAAGACTCCTAAATCTTTTTCGACTTGGGATACTACTAGAGAGGAGTTTCCTAAGTTGTAACTGTAGTTTGCAACATGTCGCAGATGGACTACTTTACACTTTGAAGTGTTAAAGGTAAGTCCGTTATCGTCTGCCAAACTTTGAAGTCGAGTCAGATCCTCCTGAAGTGCCTGTATATCGTCTTGGTTGCGTATCTCTCTCCGAAGTTTCACGTCGTCGGCAAAAAGTAATAAGTCTGACGTTACCTGTTGAGGAAGATCATTTATGTAGATCAAGAAGAAAAGAGGCCCTAGTACTGAGCCCTGGGGGATCCCACTAGGACATTCCATAGCCTGAGATAAAGTGAAATTAACCCTAACCTTAAAGTGTCGATTTTTTAGGTATGAAGTAAGCCAATCGATTAGAGGTGGTTTGATACCTAGTCGTTTGAGCTTATTGGTAAGACACAAGTGGTTAACCTTATCAAAAGCTTTTGAGAAATCAAGGTAAATGATATCAACCTTTCCCTTACGATCGATGATGCTTGTCCATCTGTCAACCGCAGTCAGCAGGTTGGTTGTACAAGAGTAACCCTTCCTGAAACCATGCTGTTGGGGTGAGAAGAAATTTAAGGACAGTAGATAGTCGTTTAAACCGTCGCATATCAGGGACTCCATGAGTT